CCTCATCACCACTACAACCACCTAAACCAATACAACCACCTCATCACCACTACAACCACCTCATCACCAATAGAACTACTGTTGTAATACATAAGTTAGGAGCCGGTCGGCCGAGCGGACAGCACGCGGGGCTTGTGATCCTTGTGGTCCTGGGTTCGATCCCAGGCGCCAGGTGAGAAACAATGGGCAGAGTTTCTTTCACCCTATGCCCCTGTTACCAAGCAGTAAAATAGGTACCTGGGAATTAGTCAGCTGTCACGGGCTGCTTCCTGGGGGTGGAGGCCTGGTCGAGGACCGGGCCGCGGGGACACTAAAAAAAGCCCCGAAATCATCTCAAGATAACCTCAAGAAGGAGTGAATATTAGCTAGTGACTCAAGCACTAAACACTTAATTATTAACAAATGCTGGATGGAAGTACATGTTAAGTATTCAGACTGGTCACAAGTCGGGGTCAGGTCAAAGGGATTAAGACAGCCTTAGTCTACCCAGACGAATGTACCAGTCTAGAGGACAATGGCTGACCACATGTTTCTGGCCACAAGGAGATTTACAGTTAATCGGATTAAATTGGTACAGTCTCTATGGTGTAGCGGTAAGGCACTCGCCTGGCGTTCCTCGAGCGCTATGTCATGGGTTCGTATCCTGGCCGGGGAGGATTTACTGGGCGCAATTCCTTAACTGTAGCCTCTGTTTAACTCAACAGTAAAATGTGTACTTGGTTGTAACAACGATTCTTCGCGGCAGGGGATCGTATTCCAGGGACCTGTCCGAAACGCTACGCGTACTAGTGGCTGTACAAGAATGTAACAACTCTTGTATATATCTCAAAAAAAAAAATACCCTCCTTGGGATGCGGGGTGTAATGTTTGAGGCTATGGCCGGCTGGAGGAAGTCTTGGAGTAGCAGCAGCACTTATCAAGATCTTATCTCCGTCTGAGGCAGCAACGAAGTAAAATAGACACAATTTAGGGGACCCGGTGTGTAATCTTGGTGATCGCGTGAAGTCGGCAGTGCGTAAGTATTGTATGGGAGACTAACCCGTTGTGTGGTGAGGTGTAGTAGTGATTCGGTATTAGAGGCCTAGGCGGAGGTTACTAGTTCAGGCGGTGACCGAGAAGGGACAGTAGGGTTATGTGTATAAGAAGCTGATTTAACCAGAGAAAGTAGGTTAATGTGTGAATTATTTTCAGAGTATATATATGTAATTAAATTGGGAAACCCGACGGCCTTTAATGTGTAATAGGCGCAGTAAATTGTGGACGCCTAGGCATAGTGAGTGATGCGTATTTTGGCGTCTGGTGTTTGGCGTCTGGTGTTTGGCATCTGATGTTTGGCGTCTGGTGTTTGTCGTCTGATGTTTGGCGTCTGGTGTTTGGTGCCTGGTGTTTGTCGTCTGATGTTTGACGACTTGTGTTTGGCGTCTGGTGTTTAGCGTCTGGTGTTTGGCGTCTGGTGTTTGGCGTCTGGTGTTTGGCGTCTGGTGTTTGGCGTCTGGTGTTTGGCGTCTGGTGTTTGGTGCCTGGTGTTTGGCGTCTGGTGTTTGGCATCTGGTGTTTGGTGTCTGGTGTTTGGTGCCTGGTGTTTGTCGTCTGATGTTTGACGACTTGTGTTTGGCGTCTGGTGTTTGGCGTCTGGTGTTTAGCGTCTGGTGTTTGGCGTCTGGTGTTTGGCGTCTGGTGTTTGGCGTCTGGTGTTTGGCGTCTGGTGTTTGGTGCCTGGTGTTTGTCGTCTGATGTTTGACGACTTGTGTTTGGCGTCTGGTGTTTGGCGTCTGGTGTTTAGCGTCTGGTGTTTGGCGTCTGGTGTTTGGCGTCTGGTGTTTGGCGTCTGGTGTTTGGCGTCTGGTGTTTGGTGCCTGGTGTTTGGCGTCTGGTGTTTGGCATCTGGTGTTTGGTGTCTGGTGTTTGGTGTCTGGTGTTTGGTGTCTGGTGTTTGGTGTCTGGTGTTTAATGTCTGGTGTTTGGCGTCTGGTGTTTGGCGTCTGGTGTTTGGCATCTGGTGTTTGGCATCTGGTGTTTGGTGTCTGGTGTTTGGCATCTGGTGTTTGGCGTCTGGTGTTTGGCATCTGGTGTTTGGTGTCTGGTGTTTGGTGTCTGGTGTTTGGCGTCTGGTGTTTGGCATCTGGTGTTTGGTGTCTGGTGTTTGGCATCTGGTGTTTGGCGTCTGGTGTTTGGCATCTGGTGTTTGGCGTCTGGTGTTTGGCGTCTGGTGTTTGGTGCCTGGTGTTTGGCGTCTGGTGTTTGGTGCCTGGTGTTTGGCGTCTGGTGTTTGGCATCTGGTGTTTGGATTCTGGTGTTTGGTGTCTGGTGTTTGGTGTCTGGTGTTTAATGTCTGGTGTTTGGCGTCTGGTGTCTGGTGTTTGGCGTCTGGCGTCTGGTGTTTGGCATCTGGTGTTTGGAGTCCGGTGTTTGGCGTCTGGTGTTGAGAGTATCACCTTGGGACACTAAGTGTGTCCCGCTGGTGTGTGTGGCATCCGCAGGTGGCGACACAGTGTGTACTGGCGTTTGGACGCCCGGTGTAGTGCATGGGAGTGTACTGGAGTATTGAACTGAAATGTAAATAACTTTATTGAGATATAAATACACACAAAGGGATGAGGCAGCTGTTCTCACCCCGTTCAGTACAACGTGCTCATTATATACACACACACAGGGTGTATTGCACCCTGTGTGTGAATAATGCCCCCTGTTCGTTACCAAGGTGTAGCGTTACTAGGGTATTGTGGACTTATTAACGTTGAGGTGTGTTAATTACGGCAGGTGGTAGGGTGTAGCGGGTGGCCACTACACGGGTGGTCACCTGAGCAGTGTGGCTCAGGTGAGCACCGGAGAGCACCGGAGTGGGATGGTGTTTGTTTACTTTTTGTGGGTGTTATTGGTGATGTTTAGTGGTGTTATGGTGTCCACGACACCACTTCTTTACCGCTATAACTACCTCATCTAGAACGTACTGTACTCTAACGAGAATGTACTCTCTAGAAAGGAGACGAGAGAGATACCAAATAATATACACATGGAAAATACTGGAGGGCCAAGTCCCAAATCTATACAGTAAAATAACAACGTACTGGAGTGAACAATATGGAAGAAAATGCAAGATTGAACCAGTGAAGAGCAGAGGTGCCATAGGCACAATCAGAGAGCACTGTATAAACATCAGAGGTCCGCGGTTGTTCAACGTCCTCCCAGCGACTATAAGAAATATTGCCGGAACAACCGTGGACATCTTCACGAGAAAACAGGACTGTTTTCTAAGAGAAGTTCCGGACCAACCGGGCTGTGGTGGGTATGTGGGCCTGCGGGCCGCTCCAAGCAACAGCCTGGTGGATCAACCGGGCTGTGGTGGGTATGTGGGCCTGCGGGCCGCTCCAAGCAACAGCCTGGTGGACCAACCGGGCTGTGGTGGGTATGTGGGCCTGCGGGCCGCTCCAAGCAACAGCCTGGTGGACCAAACTCTCACAAGTCGAGCCTGGCCTCAGGCCGGGCTTGGGGAGTAGCAGAACTCCCAGAACCCCATCAAGCAGGTATCATCACCACTAGAACCTCCTCATCACCACAAGAACCACCTCATCACCACAAGAACCACCTCATCACCACCTCATCACCACAAGAACCACCTCATCACCACCTCATCACCACAAGAACCACCTCATCACCACCTCATCACCACAAGAACCACCTCATCACCACCTCATCACCACAAGAACCACCTCATCACCACAAGAACCACCTCATCACCACCTCATCACCACAAGAACCACCTCATCACCACAAGAACCACCTCATCACCACAAGAACCACCTCATCACCACTAGAACCACCTCATCACCACAAGAACCACCTCATCACCACAAGAACCACCTCATCACCACTAGAACCACCTCATCACCACAAGAACCACCTCATCACCACAAGAACCACCTCATCACCACCTCATCACTACTAGAACCACCTCATCACCACAAGAACCACCTCATCACCACAAGAACCACCTCATCACCACAAGAACCACCTCATCACCACCTCATCACCACAAGAACCACCTCATCACCACAAGAACCACCTCATCACCACAAGAACCACCTCATCACCACAAGAACCACCTCATCACCACAAGAACCACCTCATCACCACAAGAACCACCTCATCACCACCTCATCACCACTAGAACCACCTCATCACCACTAGAACCACCTCATCACCACAAGAACCACCTCATCACCACAAGAACCACCTCATCACCACAAGAACCACCTCATCACCACTAGAACCACCTCATCACCACAAGAACCACCTCATCACCACAAGAACCACCTCATCACCACTTGAACCACCTCATCACCACAAGAACCACCTCATCACCACAAGAACCACCTCATCACCACTAGAACCACCTCATCACCACAAGAACCACCTCATCACCACAAGAACCAACTCATCACCACTTGAACCACCTCATCACCACAAAAACCACCTCATCACCACAAGAACCACCTCATCACCACTAGAACCACCTCATCACCACAAGAACCACCTCATCACCACAAGAACCACCTTATCACCACAAGAACCACCTCATCACCACAAGAACCACCTCATCACCACAAGAACCACCTCATCACCACAAGAACCACCTCATCACCACTAGAACCACCTCATCACCACAAGAACCACCTCATCACCACAAGAACCACCTCATCACCACTAGAACCACCTCATCACCACTAGAACCACCTCATCACCATTAGAACCACCTCATCACCACTAGAACCACCTCATCGCCACAAGAACCACCTCATCACCACAAGAACCACCTCATCACCACTAGAACCACCTCATCACCACAAGAACCACCTCATCACCACAAGAACCACCTCATCACCACTAGAACCACCTCATCACCACTTATAGAACCACCTTATCACCACAAGAACCACCTCATCACCACAAGAACCACCTCATCACCACTAGAACCACCTCATCACCACTAGAACCACCTCATCACCACTAGAACCACCTCATCACCATTAGAACCACCTCATCACCACTAGAACCACCTCATCGCCACAAGAACCACCTCATCACCACTAGAACCACCTCATCGCCACAAGAACCACCTCATCACCACTAGAACCACCTCATCGCCACAAGAACCACCTCATCACCACTAGAACCACCTCATCACTACTAGAACCACCTCATCACCACTAGAACCACCTCATCGCCACAAGAACCACCTCATTACCACTAGAACCACCTCATCACCACTAGAACCACCTCATCACCACTAGAACCACCTCATCGCCACAAGAACCACCTCATCACCACTAGAACCACCTCATCACCACTAGAACCACCTCATCGCCACAAGAACCACCTCATCACCACTAGAACCACCTCATCACCACAAGAACCACCTCATCATACAGGAACAACCTCATCACCACAAGTACCACCTCATCACCACAAGAACCACCTCATCATACAGGAACAACCTCATCACCACAAGTACCACCTCATCACCACAAGAACCACCTCATCACCACTAGAACCACCTCATCACCACAAGAACCACCTCATCACCACAAGAACCACCTCATCACCACTAGAACCACCTCATCACCACTAGAACCACCTCATCACCACTAGAACCACCTCATCACCACTAGAACCACCTCATCGCCACAAGAACCACCTCATCACCACTATAACCACCTCATCACCACAAGTACCACCTCATCACCACAAGAACCACCTCATCACCACTAGAACCACCTCATCGCCACAAGAACCACCTCATCACCACTAGAACCACCTCATCACCACAAGAACCACCTCATCACCACTAGAACCACCTCATCACCACTAGAACCACCTCATCACCACTAGAACCACCTCATCACCACTAGAACCACCTCATCACCACTAGAACCACCTCATCACCACTAGAACCACCTCATCACCACTAGAACCACTTGGTTAGCAAGGGGGTTGCAACTTAACCTAATTCGACGAATATTTTGCTCAATGTAATATTTAAGGTAATTTTGAAGGTAATATTTAAGGTAATATATAAGGTTAAGAGATGTGTACTTTAGTTACGTAATTATGTGACAGGTTACGGGGTCATGGGTATTGATTTCGCTGACACGGAAGATGTACTGATGGTCGCTGTACTCCTATTGGGTCTCACTGCACTTCTAGTAATGCTCACTGTAGTCCCGCTGGAGTACTGTATACTCTCCCACTGGAACACACACAGTACTTCCGCTGGAGCATGTAAACTAATCCCACTGGAACACACACAGTACTCCCGCTGGAGCATGTATACTAATCCCACTGGAACACACACAGTACTCCCGCTGGAGCATACAGACTACTACCGCAAAATCTCTAAGTGTACTTCACTGAATCACAGTAGTAATCCCTACTGTGATTCTGATATGTTATCGTCCATTCCCGAGATAACAGGAAGGTGCACATTGGCTTCTGATAAACACGACACTTACCCATTGACATAATAGGTGTTTATGTATTTGTATGGTCAGCACAGTAACCGTACCAGGCTGCGTGATATAGTCATTGTGCGAACTGGCTTTGGCTCTAGGCACATCTGGCAGGTTAGTGAGGCTGAGCCACTACCAGAATACTCAGATTGTAAACTCTGTGATAAACCTTTAATGCATTCACTAGAACACTATATTGTTGAATGTGAAACCGTAATGGACTTTAGACCTCCTGGCCTCTTGTACCACCAACTGTGTAACTATTTCATTGACTCAGGTGTTCTGGACGACATTCTAACAATTTATCCAAAATTTGCTTGTCCATATTAAAAAATGAAGAACAATTTTATTTATATTACTTCTATGCTGCATCACGTATGAACCCATCCCTGCCCTTGTGTGGCAGTGCACAATAGAAAGCTGTTTTTACATATTCATACATTAAAACATTGATTGTAACCGTGATATATATGTGCTTCAGCCTACAGTTTAGACCTATTGTCTTGTGTATGACCCTCTGTCCTGCGTGACAGTGAATACCAGCATTATCCTCACTTTAATAAGACTTAATTAAAATCCTCAGGTTAGGCAAAATTGTAATTAGTCTTGCCAATAAAGATGTTAATAATAAAATACGACGCCAAGTATTCCGATTGTGAGACTCAGGCTGCCTCACCTCACGTCCCTATTGTCACTGTTAGGTAGATACTGGTTGGTAAGCCTTAGTGATTGTGAGACTCAGGCTGCCTCACCTCACGTCCCTATTGTCACTGTTAGGTAGATACTGGTTGGTAAGCCTTAGTGATTGTGAGACTCAGGCTGCCTCACCTCACGTCCCTATTGTCACTGTTAGGTAGATACTGGTTGGTAAGCCTTAGTGATTGTGAGACTCAGGCTGCCTCACCTCACGTCCCTATTGTCACTGTTAGGTAGATACTGGTTGGTAAGCCTTAGTGATTGTGAGACTCAGGCTGCCTCACCTCACGTCCCTATTGTCACTGTTAGGTAGATACTGGTTGGTAAGCCTTAG